CAGCTACTAAGGTGATTAGACTAATAGCCCTCTCCAAAAAGCCTGCATTCTAATCCCCATAATCTGAATGTGTGTATTTAGATGCTGAGACTGATATTTGGAGAGGGGAAGATTATCTTGAACTATCATTGTGGGTACATTCTTGTCAGATAGATTTTATAAGAGAAAGACAAAAGGATCAGAGTCAGAAAAGGAAGATGAGACCATGGAAGTAGAGATTTTGGTAATAGGCATTGAAGATGAAAGAGGCCACACAACAAAGAAACTGGGAAGGCAAGGGCACTACACACATAATAGAAGAAGCAATATTTGGAACAGTGACAAGATGAAATACTGTTGAGGAGATGAACGAACAAGAACTTACATTTATTGTTGGTAGGAAGGCAAATTAAAACGGTAGCTTTGAAAGATAATTTGATGGTTTCCTACAAGAATAAAGCTACTATTATTATATAATCCAGCAATCATGCTTCTTCATATTTACTCAACGGAATTGAAAACACATGTTCACACAAAATTTGAACAGTGATATTTATAGCAGATTTATTCGTAATTGTCAAAACTTGGAAGCAGCCAAGATATCCTTCAGTAGGTAAAAGGATAAAAATAATGTGGAACATTCAGCTAAGGGAATTCATCACCAAAAATAAATAAGCTATTTAGACACACACACACACAATGAAGGAATCTATAATGATATTACCAAGTGAAATAACATAATCTGAAAAGTATGTATACTATGTGATTTCAACTCTATGACATTATGAAAGACTAAACTAGAGAGACTAGAAAAAGATCAATAGTTCCTGGAGGTTTGATAGGAGTAGGGGAATGAATAAACAGAACAGGACTATTTAGGCCAGAGAAAACACTGTACAATATTATAATGATGGATACATGTTAATGTTAGTCTGCTTTTATTGTTGTGACCAAAATTGAAAAAAAAATAAAATAAACTTAGGGGAGAAAAGATGTGTTTTGGCTGTAGATTCAGAAGTTTTAATCTGTGATCACTTGGTTATAAAAAAATAAAATAAACTTAGGGGAGAAAAGATGTGTTTTGGCTGTAGTTTCAGAAGTTTTAATCTGTGATCACTTGGTTATATTGATTTAGGGCCTGTGGTGAGGCAGAACATTATGGCTGGGGGGCATGTGGCAGAGCAAAGCTGATCACTTCATGGTGGCCAAGAAACAGAGTGAGAAGTGTCCAGAGACAAGATATACCCTTCAACGACATCCCCCAGTTATCTACTTCCTTCTACAAGGCTTCACCTCTATAATCTCCACAGCTTCCAATAGTGCCACCAACTAGGGAACATATCTTCAAAACTTTGATCTTTGTGGAACATTCCAGGTCCAAACTATTAAAAAATCACCATGATTTTGTCCAAACCAGTAGAATGAACACGACCAGGCATGAATGAACCCTATATAAACTATGAACTTGGGTAATAATGATGTGTTTTTGTAGATCATCAATCATAACAAACATACTACTCTGGTGGGAGATGCTGATCATGGGGAGGCTAATTATGTGTCATAGTGAATATGATAAACCTCTATATTTTCCTTTTAAAAATTTGGCAAACATAGCACTGCTATTAAAAATAGTCTTAAACTAAAAACAGCAATAACAAAAAATAAAATGACAAGGAAAAGACTCCCCTAGATCCTGTAGAATGAATACAGCCCTGTTGATACTCTGATTTTAGTCCCCAAAGACTTATTTCATATGTGACCTCTAGAACTAAAATAAATTTGTATCTTGTACCACTAATGCATTTTATGAAGAATATTAAAAATAGCAATAAAATTAAGATGAGTGTATTATATTTATGGATATGAATTTTTATTATTTAATATTGAGATATACAAACATTTGAAAGACTGTGCACAGGAAAATGTCATATATGTACTTTTTTCATCAAAATATATACCTTTGTCATAAAACAAAACTAGGTAAACACATGTCAATGAAAAACAGCTTTTAAAAATATTAGAGAAAACAAAACTCTATAGTCTTCTTAAAAGAAATACCCTTAGTAACATTATTGGCTACATATATTGCTTTGCAAAATTGCTGAGCAATGATGATCCGATTAATTTTTAAGAAAGGCTCTCATTTGTCAAATGGTTTCTAAAGTGCCTTACAGTCTGCACAGCAATGGATGTAACTCATATTCTAGCAAAGCGTTCTACTTAACACCCAGGGAGGATAATGTTAACATGAAATATGCAGATGCCATTCACTAGGCAGCTTTCATTATAGTCTATTGACTACAGTAACAGTGAGTATCTGAAAAAAAAGAAGTCTACCTAGACTATCTAATACTCAACTATAAATATTCATTGCAATTTCTACAATAGAGTCTTTATCTTAGTTCCTGCTACTACAGTAGCATCAAAAATTAGAACAATTCTAAATATGATGATAGGAGTTTTTTGCGAAGTGTTATTAAGGATAAATTATTTTTATTAATTGAAATCAACTTTTATATTAGAAAGAAAGTAAAGCGGGTTTAAAAAATTAAAGATTTTAACTCTACCAACTCCTTTTGAAAGGCAAAATAAACTTCCTCTATTTCCTAAGGATTTTTCAAGTTCTCCAGGAGAATCTATTTCTTAACTCCTTTTCACAGATCATTTTCTCAAATAGATCTAACATTTCTTTGCATATTAACTTATTTTAAACTCCTCTGATCATGTTTCTTCCAAGAATAATATATATATATATATATATATATAAAACATTTTCCATCCTGAGTAGACCATTATAAATATTCCTCAGACGGTTCTTGTCTTAAGTATTTAAACAGTTTTGGAGATATTATTCTCTTCAGTTTTCCAACTAATTTCAGAAAGCTATTTTATATAACTCAAATTCCCCCACCATCCTGCATAACTTGGGTGTGGATTTTCATTCATTCTGTTTCCTCTGATCTAACACTATGAAGAAAATAACCTCAACTGGAACAATAATTTTTATTTTATTTGCAATATCAAATTAACAGTTACTATTAGAGGCAATATGGAATACAGAGAAACTTTCTTTCTATAAACATCATTAAAGAAATGGCATTTGACTAAATATGACTTTGAATATACACAAGTTGTTTAATACAATAGATGATCCTGAAGAGAAGTAATTTAAGTTTAAACAAAAATGAGAAAAAACACACTGACCTCTAAAACACATATCCCAGTCATAAAAGCAAAAAAGACTTGTCTATTGATATTCATTACAGAGAAACTATATTTAAAATGATGAGGAAATAATTAAAAATATATATCTGACCTGTGTGTCTCCTGCATATCATGGCAAAAAGCAGATTTCTGGAAGATATAGCACACTGACATAAAACACTAAGAAATTCTAGATAAATATAATAGAGTTTCATTGAATGGACATCTGGTATCTCAAGAAAAGGAGACAACTTTAAAAGAATAAAAAGACCAACTATCACCAAAATGATTTGAAAATGGGAAGGAAGAAAGGTTTAGAGATTTTTAAGATGACGTACTGAATTTCTGAAAGGCATTTAGTGGTCAAGAAGCCAAAGTGATGCCTTAGCCATGCAAACTGAAAATATGACTTGTTTAAACTGGAATATTGAATCCATTGGGGAACACTGATTCAGAAAAACAGATTTCTCCAAGAGTGAGGATGATCTTACTGCAGCAAATGTATAGAAAAATCAATGATAGCACCTTGTAAATTTTTAAATGTGCATACCCCCATTACTCAACAATTACAATCTCAAATATATATTTTAAAGGGATATTTGCAATATGTAAATAAGGATATGATAAAGAAACTGTAAAAATGTCCATATTGCTATTACTTGTACTTCAAAAAAACTGAAAATAACTTAAATGCCTTTCAACAGAGATATAGGTAAATAACCTATGGTTTGTCCAAAATAGAATCCTGGGAAGCAATGAAAATATGTAGATTATAGTTACTCATATCAACATAATTACGTGTTCAAAATAAAGAAATGATAGGCAATCAATTCCTGTTATGGTATGTCTCAGGAAGGATGTAAGGATTTATGTAACAAAGTACATACAAGGAACAATGACAGGTTTGTAACATTTTATTTTTCCTAATGCTTAAGTAAGTGTAATTCTTAGATTGCCAAGTAAATTCAGCACTATTTCCAGTGTTCCTTGTAGGCTGGTTTGAGATTCAATTTCAGTCATTATTACAGTGATCAATGCTTCTAGGAGTCTAATTCTCAGAATGCAGTACCCCAAATCCATACAGAATTGTGTTGTATAATCTCTACTCTTGGGAAGCTTGCTAGTCCCAAAATTGGCACTAACTTTTAAGCCCACTGTACCTTCTGTCACTCTCTCTGTTAACTGAGGTCTTCCTGGTGGTCTCCTATCTGTTTCACAAATGTACAAATAAATCCCCTGCTTATGTGACTTCCCTTGATATTCTTTCTGCCTGGGGACATCTGGTCCCAGGTACACATATTCTTGCTTCCTCACCTCCTTCAAGTCTTTGCTTGTGTATTATCTTAGGGAAGCTGCTTCTTGTCAATCTATTAAAGGTTCAACCCCCATTCTCACCTTTCCTATTGTTCTGCACTTTAACTTTATCCCCTCATAGAACTTACGTATTATCTAATACATGGCACGATGTATTAATTGGGTTGTTGTCTGTTCCCAGCCCTTAAGATGACAGCAGGAAGGTTTTTTTCTACTTTTCTTACTATTGTAATATGTGGTAGTGGCTTGAAATATTTTTAAATGAAATTAGGAGCTTCTAATTAAAATCTTTCATGCTTAGATGAATGTTATAGAAGCCAATAGACCCTTGACATCTATCTGTTTTGTTTTTCTTATGTTTGGCAAGGCAAATGAAAATGCATGACCCAGTCTCAGAATGCAGCACCCCAAATCCATACAGAATTGTGTTGTATAATCTCCACTCTGCTTTTTTGTTTTTAAAAGCTGTTGGGATTCTGAGTTTGGGACATCCCTTACTGTCACTCATGCATACAACTACCACTTTTTTAAAGAATTTTTGTTTCTATTAACACATCACATTCTCCTTCAATCTAATGAAATATATTGGAATTTAATTTCTTTAATAAAATTTCCTACTCTGAGCATAGGAAATACAATAAAAAATTAAGAATTCACCCTATATGCACAAATCTGAACCAAGAAAAAGTGACAGAAAAGAACGGTTATCTTCTTGCAATGAAGAAAAACAAACGCACTGAAGGGAAAAAAATCCACAGTTAACTTTCTTTTTACATTATAGTCATATATAGATGGTAGGCTTACTGTTCTTAGTCATTAAAAATTATGTTATGCATATTTTTATTAGCCAATGAATTTAATATTATTTTATCAGAAACACTCCTTTTGAAAGTACATAACCACGTTGTGTATTACCTTTGTGCAGAGGGAGACACTCTTTTATGTCAGAGGTTCAGAGTAATAGTTTATGAATGAACCCGAAGTAGACCTTATTAGTTCAGTGGCTAAACAACTTAGCTGGTTACCCACATAAGATTACTTTCACCATCTAAACTTTGTTGAACTAGGCAATACACAATCACATTATACTCAAATATTAAAATTGGAATACTTAATTGTGTCTGTCAATTAGACATTATTCTCTATGCATATAAATACTGAAAATATAACTGCCTGCTAAAATTCAAGAAATATAAAGAAAAATATCCAAATTCAATTATAGGCTTTATGCAAAATAGATCTTTTAACAATAAAAGAATTTGAAATCATGATTGCAGTGTCTTGCTTTTATTTAAAGAGTATTAATTATTTGAGTAGGAGGAGGAAGAACTAAGGTATGACGATTCTTGTAGTCTCTCAATGAATTGATTATCCAGAGTTCACATCATTTAATTATAGGTTATAAAAAAAGTGAATGGCTATTTCTACTTACATTATTTTGTTCAATATTACCATGAATTGTAGTCTTTTATCTTCACAGGAAATAATTCCTACTAACTTTTAGGGAAAAATTATTTTAAAATCCTATCAATAGCTCAAATATCTGATAACATGATTCAGACAGGAAAAATGTACCTTATTTCAAGAGATAAAAACAAGTTAAGTATGATAATAAATATATACTGCTTCCAGATAGTTCAATCATATTACCAAAGTGTTTTCTAAAATAGAGGGTTAGCAACTCTAACATTCTATCACCATTTTCCATCAATATGTTGTCAGGGGAACATTAACAATTTGAGGTCTCTGTTGAAAATGATGTGAGCGAGTGATCAGAAGAATATAAAGTCGAAGCTGGGATTATATTGTAGTAAAGAGGAGTCCAGGCAGTGTAAATTTGCAGTGTTAGTATGAGATGGTAAATTAATATACTGTATTAATATTTATTAAACATCATAACTAAAACAGATCTCAACCATTAATTTTATTATTTACAACAATATACTTAAGTATGTGCATAAACACAGGCCCTTACACTATGTAGCCTCACTCAACCACTACTAGGAAGTAAAGGGGAAAAGAATAGATTCACATCTGTCTTAAAACCTATGAATTCACACCAGACCTAACTCCAGTTAGCTCAGAGGGCTCAGAGACATATACTCTGAAGACAGTGGAATAGACACTTCCCAGCCATTCAGCCATTCACTCCCTTTCCTTGTGAAGAGTCTATTATTGTTAGGATATTATATAAAAGCACTTAATGATTTTAAGAGCTGTAATCTTCAAAGCTGAAGTAATTTGGAAAAAAAATTCTTTCTCCTATAAAGCTAAGATTTATGTTTTTAATCATAGTACTTATAATCCAGGTTGGTAAAAGGGGTAGAGAAATGAGGCACTTCCATGTATTTCTGAGGAAACTGTAAATTGGTTTTTTTTTAAATACTCTCTGCAGTGAAATTTCCCTAAAATATTAAAAGCCTTGTTTCAATATTTTTCTATGATCCTATTTTTCTGTGGGATTCTACATCCAAATACAATAATAACCACATAGTAAATATTAACATTAAAAAGAAAGAGAAGAGAGGAAGACTTATCAAGAGTTTTAGGCCAAATAATTCTTAGTTCACTTGCACTGATCAAAGCAGATTGAATGTTGCCAGGGCAAGTGTTATATTCCCCATTGTCTACTAAAAAAAAAAAAAAAAGTTGAAAATTCTATAAAAATAGAAAAAAGGCTCACCAAACAGTAAAGCATTATAACACCTGTCCTTCTCCCTGAGTTCTTTGAAAATATCATGTGTCTGTGTCACTCTACTCTCCTCTCTTTTGTACTGATATTGAGAATCCAAGACCATTCACTCACCTCAAGGGATTTCTGATCCAAAATGGAAAACTAAGCTTTTTCTTTTACCCTTGTTTGCTCCCCAAGAAGCTATTAAACTAATGGTGAATAAGACAATAACCTAAAGCATCTCAAAAAAATTAGTTTTATGGAGGGTACTGTTGATTAATAAATGAGAAATTATACAGATAAACAAAATTTGATGGAATTGTTGAACTTCATTAATCTAGATGGAAATTTTTTTTCTTGCATCATAATGGCTACAGTTGACAACATTCAGTTCTCTTAATAATTGGAAATACAGCATAAAAACAAGTTAGAAATGATACGTGGGATAAAAAGAAATATTAAATAGGAGGGTGTTTTAGTCACTTTTTGTGTCAGTATGAACAATCTATCCAAAAAGAACAACTTAGAAGGTGGAAAGTTTATTTGGGGCTCACAGTTTTAGTCGTCTTCATTGCTTTGGGCCCAAGGAGTAGTAGAACACTATGGGGAAAGTGGCCAGAGGAGGAAAACTCCTGAGCTCATGGCAGGATGAGAAAGGGTAATGCATGCAGGGAGAAAGAAGGAGCATCAGGTAGGGGAGTTGTAATCTTCCAGGACATTCCCCAGTGACCCACCTCCTCTACCATGGTCCACTTCCTATAGTTACCACCCAGTCAGTCCATTCAAAGGAGGAGGATGGAGGGATTAAGTCACAGCTCTCATAATTCAATCATTTCACCTCCAAACAGTCTTGCATTAATCCAGGAGCTCTGGGAGACACCTCCGGGTTATTCAAACCTTAACAGAGTATGAATGAGAAAAAATCTCATGCTCCATTTTCCATGTCCAATCAGAATAATTGACAATAAGACCCTTGAGATACAAATAGATGATTCATAATAAAATAAACTGGAAATATTATCTGTTGATAGGTGTAGAGGGATATAGTACTGTGGGAGAATGGGATTATAATGAGGTTGTTGAGATCCACAGCAGTGGCTTCTAAGATATAGCATTTAAATAGTCATTTCAATGAATTGCCAGCTGTCTGCCACTGCGCCTAAAGAGAAGAGCAAGGAAATATTTAAAAGCAAAAACAAAAGTAAAACAAACAAACAAAATAATAACAGCAACCAATAAAACCAGAATGACTCCAAATTATGTTTCTAACTGACTTTTGAGTCAATGCCTTAAGGCTCAAGGGCATTGAAAACAATGCTGGAAAAAATGAATGAGGATGAGACAATTGTGGAATTAAGTCTGACATTTCAGTCTTCGGCTGGTTATATCTGCACATGCACATGGTGATACCCTTAGTATGCTATTCATTTCACTGTAGTTTCCCCTCCAATGAAAATGTACCTGCAGTTGAAGAGAACTCTACAAATTTTGTTTGATAGACATCAAAATGGGGAGTCTTATTTCATGATAATTGAAAATCAAAGTAAATACTTAAGACTGTTCCAACAATTACATATTTTATAAACATTAAAATGATGCCTTAAAATCCCTTCTCAAGATATGGATAAGAAAATGAGCAAATGAATAGAGTTCTGTATCATCTTCCTATCATATCCATTCAACTCTGGATTAAGTTCTGGTTTCTGACTTGCTTCTGCTTCCGCACTGGAGTAAAGGACCTTTTGTATGTTCTATGAAGAGAGAAAAGGAGGCTGCTTTATAAGACAGTAGGACAAGGGGAATTCCTAGAAACCGAGTGATCTTGTCATTTTATAGACAGATGAGGAGAAAGCGGTGGCATGTGAAATTAAAGTCTTAAAGAGGTGGGATTAAGTGTACTAAAGTTTTAGATTTTGAGATGATGAAGGATAATTTTTTCTTAGAGAATTGAAGGAAGAAAATAAGTGAGTTGATATCATTCTTTATGCTATGTTTCATTATTTTATTTGGCAGGCAAGAAACATCAGACTTGAAATTTGGACCCATAGATATAAATTTCTGGATTTAAGGGTGGTGTCATAGAGTTTGAGATTTCTAGTTTGAATGTTTCCCGTACTTACTACAGTGGAAAATGTCATGATGTATTAGCTTCACTGAAGTATAAGTTACACATGCATTCATTTCATAAAACTCAATGAACCTGACTATTTTAAATGCTTGCCTGAGAACAATGGACTAGGAAGAATTCAAACATTTTATTATTGTCAAAGATCATACAAGTGGGAAGAAAGAAAAGCTTGGCCCTATATGTAACTTCAGAGTGAATAACCCGACATTAACTAGTCCAAAAGGATAAAAAGTGTCCTCAAGATATTAACTTTCACGGTAATTTTCAATGATAAAAAAAAAATCTCATGAATGCTTTAAATTCTCCAGCCACTGAAAATGCCACTTAACAGCTCTTGTCTTATATTTTATTTTTTTCAGTATCAGTAATTAAACCCATGGGTGCTTAATCACTTAGCTGCATCCCAAACCCTTTTTATTTTCTTATTTTGAGGCTGGGTCTCATTAAATTACATAGAGTCTCACTAAATTATTGAGGCTGACCTGAACTTGTAATCCTCCTGTCTCAGCCTCTTGAGCTGCTGGGCTTGCTTTTTACGATGTTATGATTTCTAACCAGTCTTATTTAGGGCCTTAAGATGCAATCCTGCATATTCAAAATCCTGTAACATTCATTTACCTTTTCTGCCTTTTGCTTCTGACATCTCCAACCCCGACTGGATTGCCTTGATTAAGGTCAATATGTTTAGTGTCCTAGGAGTGGCCACTAGTGTTTCTCGCCATGTATTTGCTACTATGAAGGCTACAAAGGCTGCCTTGTAGTCCTTCCATTTGGGTGATAGTGGAGACAGTGAAGAGACTCCCTCAGGTGACTCCTGTGCTGAAACTTCTCTCTGTGCTTTTGAAACTGCCTCTAGAGAGCCAGGGGCCACCCGTAGCTTTAAATATTTCCTACACAAAACCCAGTTTCTTCATAGCCTTTACATTTTTCTAGTTCTTGCATAAGTTGTATTACTTTAAAAATACATATTTTTCCCTAGTTAGTCTTTCAATATTGATAGCACATGTGTCCAACTCGATTGCAGATTTTTTTTCTTATTCATTTCCTTTTAAAGAACATGTTCAGGTGCTGGGTAAGGTGGCTTACCAGTGGCTGGTAATATAATCCCAGTGGCTCAGGGGGCTCCATGAGTATGGAGAAACACTTGTGATCCCTCTTAGGACACTGACTAAATTGACCTTACATCAATACAGTTGGGATTGGGGATGTCAGAAGCAAGAGGCAGGATCCTGAGTTCAAAGCCAGCCTTAGCAACTTAGCAAGACCCTCTCAAAAAAAAAAAAAAAAGTAAATAAACAAAAAGGACTGGATATATGGAATAGTGGTTAAGTGTCCCTGGTTTCAATCCCTGGTCACAATCCCCTGCAAAAATTTAAACAAATAAATGTTCATAGTTGTGCATCTTATATGTGTGTATTATAACAATTGAAACTCATCCCTTAGTTAATCTATTTTTTCTTCTCATCTGTATAGATCAAGACTCTTTTGAACTTTATAACTTCCTGCACTTAGTCTTACATAACCTAGACACTTATATTTTTATAACAAACAACCCTTTGTGTAGCATGGTAACATTGCCCCAGATGACATGATTTCTGGGTAGACTGAAACTGTGTTCTTTTCCATGACTCTTAACAGCTCTTTTCTTTAATGAAACCTCTAAGCAAAGTATGAACCTGTCTTGTCCATTTCTCCTCCTATCCAGCTCTCCTTCATCATCTCTGATTTTCCCAGTGCCATCCCTTAGACACCTAACTCAAATACTTGCAATTCATGGCTCACAGGCAATACTTTCATCTCACTTTTGATTTTTCAATATTTGGAATCCCTGTCCCAGTTTCTAGGAAGAGTT